ATGCATATGAGGCAATTGAAAATATCATGGCTTGGGTCAGGTGCACCTTAGTCCCCAAAGTGACATCTTTGTTTTTTAACACTTCAAAGAGGCTTTTTGCAGCACATTTGCCCAATAGAATGCATCGTTTGATTTCTTGACTGCTGCTTCCATGGGTGTTGATTGTGGACTCAAGTATAAGGAAATCCTTAACAACTTCAATATTTTCTCCATTTATCATGACATTGCTTTTTGGTCCAGTTGTGAGGATTTTTGTTTTCTTTATGATGAGGTGCAATCCATACTGAAGGCTGTAGACTTTGATCTTCATCAGTAAGTGCTTCAACTCCTCTTCGTTTTCAGCAAGCAAGGTTGTATCATCTGCATGTCATCTGTTAATGAGTCTTCCTCCAATCCTGATGTCACATTCTTCTTCATATAGACCAGCTTCTTGGATTATTTGCTCAGTTTACAGACTGAGTAAGTATAGTGAGAAGATACAACCCTGAGGACTACCTTTCCTAATTTTAAACCACATAGTATCCCCTTGTTCTGTTGGAACAACTGCCTCTTGATTTATGTACAGGTTCATCATGAGTACAATTAAGTTTTCTGGAATTCCCGTTCTTTGCAATGTTATCCATAATTTGTTATGATCCACATAGTCGAATCCTTTTGCGTAGTCGGTAAAACACGGTTAAATAAAATAAAACACAGACCCATCTGGCATCAGCAATGATATCCCTAGTTCCACGTCTTCTTCTGAATCCGGCTTGAATTTCTGGCAGTTCCCTGTCAATGTACTGCTGCAACCGCTTTTGAATTGTCTTCAGCAAAATTTTACTTGTGTGTGATATTGATGATATTGTTCAATAATTTCCACATTCTGCTGGATCACCTTTCTTTGGAATGTACAAATATGGATCTCTTCCAGTCGGCTGGCCAGGTAGCTGTCTTCCAAATTTCTTGGCATAGATGAGTAAGCACTTCAACATTGCATCGGTTTGTTGAAACATCTCCATTGGTATTTTCAGTTCCAGGACCTTGTTTTTCACCAATGCCTTCAGTGAAGCTTGGACTTCTTCCTTCAGTACCATCAGTTCTTGATCATATACTGCTTCCTGATGTATGTATATATGTACATATATATATGTATATATGTACATATATATGTATATATGTACATATATATATGTATATATGCTATATGTACAGAGAGAGAGGATAATGTGTAAAGTGCTTACAACAGCTCTCTCTGGCACCTGGGCAGCACTAGTGTGTGTTTGCCATTATTGTTGTCATTTTATGGCAGGACAAGGACATGGGCACCAGCCAGGAGATCCAGGTCCCGCTGGCACACACATCAGGGTCCTTGCTGGCTCTAAACGTCCTTGAGCAGAGACCTGGCTATGCCACTTGACAGCTGTGTAGCCTTGGGCACATCACCTGCCCTCTCTGAGCCTCACATTCCTTCTCAGTAAAACAGGCATAAAATAGGCCTGTGGGGATTGGAGGAGTGACCCGTGCGTGTAGCTTGTAAACAGATCCTGATGCAAGGACTCGAATGCAAATACTTTATCTGGAAGTGACCCAAGGACAAGAATTCAACCATCAGTGTTTATCTGGGAAGTGATAGCAGGAAGCACCAGCAAGGCAGTGGGAGAGGGAGACAGGGAGGGAAGAAGTCAGTACAGGCTGTGCTATCAGGGAAGTTCCCACCATGGGCAACGGGAGCGCCATCCCACTGGGGATTTCAGAGCAGCAGCAGAGAGCATGCACCTGAGAGTTACCCCACCCAAAGGTGAGGGCGCTGGGGTGTTGATCCACCAATACGCACCAGTCATTGGTCAAGGCTGCTTCCAAGGGCATTATTTCTCTGGACTGTTCTACGTGTTTTGCAACAGTGAGGAAGGAAATGGTGGGGGGGCATCCCACAGTGGCTGCTAAGATGAACATGAGCACAGTCTGGTGCTGGACTGATAAAGTGACTCAGCAAGTGGGGTTCTCCCCCTTTCTCTCCCCGTAATACACACACACACACTCACACATGCATACACATACACCCACAAATACATACATACAACACATGCATGCACACACATACACACACTCTCAAATTTGCACACACAGTCACACACTCACAAACTTGCATTCACACACGCACTCACAGTCATACACAGTCACACATACACAGTCACATGCTGACACACATTAAACACACTCATGACGCTTGCATCAACACACACATGCAATAAGCATGCACACGCGCGCATATACACATTCCTATATACACCCGAACACACTCACGCATGCACACGCTCCTATACACATAGTCCTATGCGCACACACACATATAACTGAGACCAGACGCCTTAGAGCTCGCTGTCTCAGAACTCTCCAGCAGAGGGCGCCGACACCAGCTTAGGACGGGATCTCACCACGGCTGGGGCAAGCGGGTGTGTTCTGAGCATTACGCACGCAGGTCTAGCGGGGCCCGGGGATTCACTAGCCCCCATTACCACCACCTCCCTCCTTCCTTTCTCCGTCCACCATCACAGCCTTTTGTAGAAGAATCTCAATGTGCGGTAAACTCATGATGATCCCGTAAAATCCACATGACAAGAGAGAAACGAAGTTCAGAAAGGCGAAGTCACGTGCCCAAGGCCACTGCTAGGACGAGGCAGAGCCGGGGTTCGAACCTACACACATCACATTCCAAGGCCAAGCTAGTTTTGGTGGCAGAGTTGCACCGAGGGGACCCGGAGAGTATTTGGCGAATGATGCGCTCTCGGAGATCCTCGACGGGACAGGGGTTTGGGAGAGGCGGCAGCAGCGTGAGCCAGGTGAGTCCTGTAGGGACAGGACCGCAGGTAATCTTGCACCGAACTGAATTCTCCAGAGGATCCAGCCTACGATCCCAGAACACGCCACGCGGGGGCGCCCCAGGACAGATGCTGCTGCCTCCTCCAGCATCACTCTGCCCCCAAGGCCTTGGCGCCCGCCCTAGGCGCCCCCCACCGCACCGCAGCCCCTGCTGACACCCCGTCCCAGGCGAAGGGAGGCTAGGGACACAGACCAGGACCGGAAGCCCGGGGGACAGGGTAGAAAAGGACTACAGGCCCCACTGAGGCCCCAGCGTAAGGATATCCTTGTAGGGCTCGGGTTAAGTCACTTCATGAGCGGGCCTCAGTTTCTACCTCTGTTCAATGGGCTAATAATACCAGTACTCATTTCAGAAGATCAGTGTGAGGATGAAATGAGATTATATAGGAAGGGCACACAGGGAGCACTCAATACACTCTAAATTTTGTTGTATTAAATTTGGAGACCCTGGCACTCACTCCTTAAACCCCTCCTCCCATTCAGTCTTGGGGCTTTAAACACCATGTAAATACTGTCAGTTTGTCGTACTATGGTGGTTTGCGTGTTGTTGTGATGTTGGAAGCTATGCCACCGATATTTCAAACACTAGCAGGGTCACCCATGGTGGGCAGGTTTCAGCGGAGCTTCCATACTAAGACAGACTAGGAAGAAAGACATGACAATCTACTTCCAAAAATCAGCCAATGAAAACCCTATGGATTATAACAGAATATGGTCCAGTATTGTCCAGTATCTTCCAGTGTTGGAAGATGAACCTCCCCGGGTGAAAGGCATTCAAAATACAGTGACCGCAACAATGGACTCGTGCACACCAACGATCATGACAACGCAGGACTGGGCAGCGTTTCACTCCGCTGTGCCTGAGGTAGCCATGAGTCAGAGCCGACTTGATGCCAGTTGACAACAACAACAAATACTGTGCATCCCACATGAACATCCCTAGTTCGGAATTCCTTCCCAAACTCCAGACCTGTCCATTCATCTGCCCACTTGACATCTCCAAGTGGGGTTCCCAGGGCCATCTCCAACCCCTCTGGCCAAAACTGAGATCCTGATCCCACCCCTCAAAAAGCAACTAACTCCAATCAATGCTCTCCACCTAAGTTCATAGCAGTGCCATCCTCGTAGGCGCTCAGACCCAAACCTGGAGTCCCCTCCTTTCTCCCAGACCCCACATGTGACCCATCAGCAAGCCTGCCCAGTGCCAGGAGACGCTTAACTAATAGGTGGTCTGTTGATGGAATAAATAATTGCATGAACTGTTTCTAAAAGTCTGAGTTAATATGCAAAGACAAATGTCTCCCCAGACTCCTACGCCACAGCTTCACCCTACAGCTTCCGCATGACGCAGAGCCCCTCTCAGGAGGGGTAAGCGTCTGGCTCGGCTAGACGCATCTCTTGCTTTTATTCCACAAAACTCAGAACACTCAGAGGAGGGCCCTTAAGCAAGAAAGGAAGGAAAGGGGTTGCAAGGGACTGTATTTACGAAAGAACAACAGAAGAAAACATACTGAGCTCTGGGAGGTAGCCCACTCCCCCGGGAGGACGATGAGATCCAGGGCGAGGGCTCTGACTACCTGGTCCAGCTCCCAAGTCCTGAATTTAGAAGCAAGCCCGGTGTCCGCCCGGGCGGAATTTGAATCCAAGAGGCGGGGCTTAGATCCTGGGAAGGTTCAATGAGCGGGACCTGGGACCCTACACCCGCTGGGGCGTGACCTTAGCTTCTAGCGTCTGAGACGGACCTGAATCCTCATGATCCTGGCGGTGGGGCCTGGGCCGAGGGGTGGGGCCGAGCCTGGTCCCTCAAACTCCTGAGGACAGGAACTGGAACTCAGGGGGTAGGGTCAGGCCCTCAAGAGACGGAGTCTTGCCTTCAGAGGCACGGCCTGCACCATCAGGCTTCTCAAAGTGGAGCCTGGTCCTCCAGGGGCGGAGCATGGACTTCAAAAGGCATAGTCTGCGCTCTCAGGCGGCAGGCCTAGGCCCTCAGGGGACGCAGTCTTGCCTTCAGGGGCGTGGCCTGTACCAACAGGCTGCTCAATGGTGGAGCCTAGTCCTCCAGGGGCGGGGCCTGGACCCTCAGGGCAGGGCCTGAGCCTCTATGGGCCGAGCCTGACCCCAGGGCCCAGGGCCCGCACTCAGGCCCATGGAGGCAGCGGCTCCACGTTCAGCCAGATGCCGTTCTCGGTGCGCAGGATGAGTTCGGGCTTCCGCCGCACCTTGCGCGTTCGGTCCACGCTCAGGCGGAAGCGCAGTAGCGTCAGCGCTACCACCACGCGCATCTCAGCCATGGCGAAGCTCTGTCCGATGCAGTTCCTGGAAGATCGAAGACCCAGGGCTCAGGCCTCATTTCCCAAACTGTGAGGGCCTCGCATTCCCATCCTGGGCTGGATGAGGGTGAAAATGGAATCCCCAAACCAAACCCTTTGCCATCCAATCCATTCCGACTCTTAGCGACCCTATAGGACAGAATAGAACCGCCGCATAGGATTTCCAAGGCTGTAATCTTTAGGGAAGCAGACTGCCACATCTTTCTCCCCTGGAAGCCTGGTGGGTTCCAACCACCCACCTTTTTGGTTAGCAGCCAAGAGCTTAACCACCATACCCCCAAAACCAAACAAACCAAACCCGTTGCCGTCCAGTCGATTCCAACTCATAGCGACCCTATGGGACAGAGTAGAAGTGTCCCATAGGGTTTCCAAGGAGCGGCTGGTGGATTGGAACTGCTGACCCTTTGGTTAGCAGCCATAACTCTTAACCATTACACCACTAGGGTTTCTCCCTAAATAAATGTGATCTGGGGGTCTGGAGTTCAAATCCTGGTGCTCCCTATTACAGAGCTACTGGGAACAGAGAAGCCCAGAACTGAGGGTCTAGCACACAGTAGGCGCTCAGTACCGGGCGCTGCTATTGCAGAGTCTGCCTTGGGGGCTTCCAGTACATTGAGACATTGAGGGTGCAGAGTGAGAGCCAGAACCCCTGAATGGGGCGTGGTCTCTGTTCCTGATGGGCTCATCCCTGACCCCTCCTCACTCCCCCTCACCGCCCCCCCCCCGCCCCGTCTCGGGGTTCCTCCTACACCTGGCTGGGATGGGGAAAGTGGAGGCGTTACCTGGGTCCCGCAGAGAAGGGCACATACGCCAACGGTGAGCGCTGCTGCGGGTTGTCCGGGTCAAAGCGGTAGGGGTTGTACACCTGGGGGCAGGAAGAGATGAGGGGTGGGGCTGGGGGCTGGTTCCACCATCCCAGCCTGACCTCCTCCCTCAGCCTCTGGGGCCAGCCCAGCTGGATGCAGAGAACCTGGAAGCTGAGCAGGAGGTGAATGCCTGTGTGGGTGAGCTCCTCATCACCCCAGAATCAACTCCAAGCACCTTACCCAGCTATATGCCAGCATATTGTGGGCCCTGCCCTCCTCCTCCATTCCACCCACTCACTACAATCTGGCCTCTTCCTGTCCTTCAAGCATGGCAGGCTTATTCCTACCTCAGGGCCTTTGCACTTGCCATTTCCTCCACCTGGGATGCCCTTCCCCTTGCTCTTCACACCCTTCCGGTCTCAGCTCAAACAGCTCTTCTCTGTCAAGGCTTTTCCTAACCATCTGAACTAAAGTGCCACCCCACCGCAGTTTTTATTTATTTCCTCTGTTGCATTTATCAATATCCAAAACAATCATTTTTATTTACTTGCTCAATGTCTTCCCTGTGCAACACAGTGAGTTCCCTGAGGACAACAACAGTATCTGGCCTGGTCATTTCGTCATACTCAGTATCCAGCTCAAGGTCTGGCACAGGATAGGTGCTCAATACATACATATTGACCAGACGAGTTAGCAATGAGTGGTGTGAGTAAGTAGGGGTGCTCAAGCTGCGCCCCAGCCCTGGCTTGCTGGGGCAGAGGAGCGGAGGCCCCGCTGCCTCCTGGACCAAGGAAAGAGCTGAGGGCAGGAAAGGTTGGAGCTTACTCACCTTGTAGTCCGGCCACACTAAGGGGTTGTGGTGGGTCCCATAGATGCTGACCAGGCAGATGATTCCTGCGGTGAGAGGTGGGGTCAGTGGGGCTGAAGTGAGCCAGGGCCTTCCGATGACCCACCTGCCACTACTTCTTGTCCATCCTTCCCTGAAAAAAATTCTGCTACCTCATCCACCCTCCTCCCTCTCCCTACGAGGTCCTTGTCACCTTCTGCTTTCTTTCCAGCTGCCATGCTGGCGCTACAGGGATATTCGTCCCTCACAGATCTGACATTGTTCCTGCTCAGCTTAAACACCTCCCATGGCTCCCTACTGCCCTTAAAATCAAGTTCAGGTGCCTCAACCTGGCACTTAAGGCTTTTCACAATCCCTGAGGATCCACTCCATAAACATGCTCTTTCACTTTCAATCTCCTAGGCTCCCCTCCCACGTTCCCTCCACCAGGCATCCCACCCTGCATTCCTCCCCAGATAGAGCCATTGCTCCATATTTGGGGGTGCCCAATTCCTATCCCTCCCTTTAGCCCACCCCTGACCCATGTGACTGGGGGTGCCTGTGCCCTGCTGTCTCTCCCCAAGACTGGGCCATACACAAGGCCTCTCTAGATGGCCACATCACCCAGGGCAGGGCTCAATCCCCAGCAGATACCCAGCAACTGAACCAAACCAACCTTCCCTGCCTGTTCCCTCACAGAGACCAACCCCACCACCCCCACTCCTTCCTTTCCACTTGGACTCATCTACTTCTGTCTCTCCTCCCCACACACAAGTGGGTCTCCCACCACCCCAGGGGTACACAGTGAGCTGCCCCATCTATGGGGACGGTGCACCTTTGGGGATGATGTGCCCATCTGGGAGCTTGACGTCTTCCGTGCAGCGGCGGGAGACAAGGGTCACGGGCGGGAACTGACGGAGACTTTCTTTGATGCACATAGTGATGAAGGGCAGCTGGGTCAGGTCATCCCTGGGGAGAAGGGGCTGTGACTTGAGACCAGGCCATGGCGACACTCCCACCTCAAACACGCACACAAACTCAGGAGCAGCTGAACACGCAACCTCAGCTCAAATACCTCTGGTGGCTCCTTACTGCCCTCAATATCAAATTCAAGTGCCTCAACCTGGCATTCAAGGTCTCTCACAATCCACCCTCTAAGGCTCTGCTCCATTACATGCTCAGGATCTCATCTGGACTCCAACTTCCATCATTTGCAGTTGCCCTGTGCATAACCCAGTAACACTCAGTGTTATGGATTAAATTGTGTCCCCCTCCTCAGATATGTGTTAACTCCTAACCCTGGGTGGTGCAAATGGTTAAGTGCTTGACTACTAGCCTAAAGGTAGGTGGTTCGAATCTGCCCAGAACCGCGGAAGAAAAGGCCTGGCTATCTGCTTCCATAAAGGTTACAGCCAAGAAAATCCCATGGAGTAGTTTTACTCTGTAACACATGGGGTTGCCATGAGTCCTTTTCTAGCAACGGGTCCTTCCTGATGATGTGTCCAAAGTAAGTGAACTGAAGTCTTGCCATCTCGCTTTTAAGGAGCGTTGTGGTTGAATTTCTCCTAAGATTGATTTGTTTGTTCTTCTGGCAGTCCATGGTATATTCAATATTCTTCACCAACACCACAGTTCGAATGCATCTTTCTTCTATGGTCTTCCTTTTTCATTACTTACTAATTATTTACTCATTCTACTATTTACTATTCTATTATTATTCTATATCTACTTAGTCTATTATTCTAATATTAATAATTATCTTCCTTTGAAGTTCAGGGTACCAAATTGGATTAATCATAACTGTTAGTTGATGATCCAGCCAAGAAAACCCTATGGAGCACAGTTCTACTCTGTAACACATGGGATTACCATGAATCAAGTCAACGGCAACGGGTTGGGTTTAGTTTTTTTTTTTTTTTAATATGCATTATTATTATCCTCATTTTAGAATTAAAGAATTAGAAGCTTAAGAAACTGAAGTGACTTGTCAAAGGTCACACAGTCAATATGTGGTAGAGCAGAGCCTTTCCCCATCACCCGCCTGACCCCAACTGACCAGTCCAGCTCATCCAGCTCCCGGCCTCTCAGGACGTTCTGAATCTCCTCCCGGCACTTTTCCTGGTACTCTGGGTACTTCGCCAAGTTGAACAGCACCCACGAGAGCCCACTGGAGGTTGTGTCATGACCTGCAGGAAGATACAGTGTTGAATAGAGACTGCCCAGAGACAGCACAAGTGCTATCTTCCGACAATGGTGTCCCTCCCTGCACATCCTCACCCTCAAACATGAAGGTGTCAGCCTCAGATCGGATGTCCTCATCAGACAGTTCCTTCCCATCTTCATCCTGGAATGAAGGATGATGAAATGAAGAATGAGGTAGAGGATACTCAGCCCACCTCACCCCACCCTCTGCATCCTAGGGGCTCCTCCAAAGTCAGATACAGCCCCCTGCCTCTCTGAAGCCAAGCTTTGTTGGGGAAATAGTCTGGACAGGTAGAGGTATGCAGCTTGTCCAGGAAAGATGGAAAGAAGGTGGAAGAGTAAAAAGTGAAGAGAAGAAAGGAGTTCACATCTCTTGAGCAGCTCCTAACACCAAGTATCGTGCTGAGTACCTGACATCTTGTGAGGGGCTTACTATCATCAGGCTATAAATGCGGAACCTGAGGCTTAGAGAGAGGAGTAACAGGACCAAGATCAAATATCCATTAAGTGGCAGAATCAGGATTCGAATCCATGACTATCCAAATCAAGAACCCAAGCGCTGCTCAACCAGTCCACAGAAGCACCACTAATAGGTGACTCTGTCCCTGGGTGGTTCAAATGGTTAACATACTCGGCTGCTAACTAAAAGGCTGGAAATTAGAGTTCATGCAGAGGCACCTTGGAAGAAAGCCTTGGCAATCTACTTCCAAAAAGTCAGCCATGGAAAACTTTGTGGAGCATGCCACACATGGATGAACCTTGAAGACATCATGCTGAGTAAAATAAGTCAGTCGCAAAAGGACAAATACTGTATGATCTCACTTCTATGAAATAACCAAATATGTAGAAACCAAAGATGATTAGTGGTTACCAGGTGTGGGTGGGAGAGAGAAAGGGGGAATTTTTGCTTAGTGGGCACTGAGTTTCTATCAATGGTGGTGGAATGATTTGGAAAAGATAGCAAGAATGGCTGTAAAGCTTGAAGAATGTAATCAGTGTCACTGAATTGTATATGCAGGAATTGCTGAGATGGTATATGTTTTGTTATGTATATTTTCTTCCAATACAATTTGGAAAAAAACTAAAAGAAAACCCTATGGAGCGCAGTGCTACTCTTACACACATGGGGTCGCCATAAGTCAGAGTCAACTCGAGACAACTAGTATACCTCTTTAAGTGTCATCTTTCTTCAGGGTCTTGGATTACATCTTTGTAAGTCTTACGCGTTTTGCATCTGACTCCATCCTATGTCTATGTTAATTTTAACACTGAACCTTGTATGCAGTTGGTGCTGAATTTATGGGGAGGTTGGCCTTGGCGGGGCTCCACCCTCCAAGGCCCAGACTCACCTTGGCCAGGAGGAGCACATCGATGAAGTCCAAGGTCTTGCCCTGCTTGGCCTTCAGCCAGGCCTCAGCTCCCTGCTTGCGCAGAGCCTGCCGCCGCTTCTGGATGACCTCGGTGGTGAAGTGGTGCACAGTGTCACAGGCCTGCCAGAAACGCCGCCCATCTGCTGTGAGGTAGTAGATGAAATCGAAGTAGTGGTGCAGACGATACTGGCGTCGAACCACCAGGGCACTTAGCTCAATGATGGCCGAGATATAATCACTCATCTTCCTGCCAAAGAGAAGAAGGGCCATGAGTACTGGACCACCCCCGGCCCCAGCCCAGCCAGACCCACGACTTGGCAAAGGTAACTTCTTCTTCCCATTAGGTAGGTGACAGACTCAGAAAGGGCAAGGACTGCCAGCATAGACATAGCATCAGTAAAGCTAAATTGCTACAACCTGCTGGATGGGAGAAAATACAATGAAACCTGTGAGAGCCAGAACTCTATGAGACTGCCTTGTTCTGAGTCTCACAAGTTTTCCATCTTTGACAGGGTGTAGTCTTACCTCTTTTTCTCACTCTCTATTAGTGGAAAATATTTGAGTTTTCTTTCTCTGACAAGTTTCCACCTTACACAAGTTCCTACTTTCACAAGTTTTGCTGTATTTGCAAACCATATATCTGATAAGGGACTAGAATATATAAAGAACTCCTATAACTCAACGATAAAAAGATAAATAATACTATTAAAAAATAGGCAAAAAATCTGAATAGACATTTCTCCAAAGAAGATATACAAAGGGCCAATAAGTACATGAAAAAATGCTCAACATTATTAACTATCAGGAAAAATGAAAATCAAAACCACAATGAGATACCACTTCACACCCACTAGGATGGCTAGAATCAAAAAGTTAGATAATAACAAGTGTTGGCAAGGATGTGGAGAAACTGGAACCCCCATGCATTGTTGGTGGGAATGTAAAATGGTGCAGCCACTTTGGAAAAAAGCTCCTTAAAAGGTTAAACATAGAGTTACCAAATGACCCAACAATTCCACTCCTACATATATACCCAAGAGAAATGAAAAGATGTCCACACAAAAACTTGTACACAAATGTTCATAGCAGCATTATTCATAGTAGCCAAAAGGTGGAAACACCCAAATGTCCATCAACTAATGAATGGACAAATAAAATAAGGTATATATCTATACAATGGAATATTATTCAGCCATAAAAAGGAATGAAGTACTGCTACAATATGGATGAACCTTAAAAACATTATGCTGAGTGAAAGAAGCCAGTCACAAAAGACTACAGATTATATGATTCTATTTAATTGAAATGTCCAGAGTAGACAAATCCAGAGAGACAGAAAGTAGATTAGTGGTTGCCTAGGAATGAGGGGGATGGGAATAATGGGGGGTGACTGCTAAAGAATATGGGTTTCTTTTGAAGATGATGAAAAAATTCTAAAATTGATTATGGTGATGGTTGCATACTTCCATGAATATACTTGAAAAAACCATTGAATTGTATACTTTCAATGGGTAATTTGTATAGTATGTGAATTATACCTCAATAAAACTGTTATTAAAAAAACTAAATTGCTAGGGTGGGGTTGCAGGGATCTGTCCTTGGTACTGAAGCATAGTTGGTGCCTTCACGCATCACAGTCAGTCATTTTCTTGTTTATTTACTTGGTCATGGTTACTGTTTGTCTCCACACCTAAATGTAAGTTCCAGAAAAGCAAGACCTTCTTTGTCTTGCTGATTACTGTATTCCCAGGACATAGTCCAATGCTGGCACATAGTAGGCACTCAGTAAATATTTCTTGAATGCATAAATAAATGAATTAATTACTGACTGAGTCCATTTCTGCTTTACCCAACTGATGTATGCCCCTACAAGGTCTAGAATAATAAAGTCAGTCTTGTTATTGAGAATCTACTATGCGCTATGAACTTAACATTCATTATATTCATTATCTGCCTTCTTTCTTATATCCCCTCTTAGACTGTATGGGCTATGGGGCTGGAACTTAGTCTATGCTCCCCAGCATATGCCCAGCATCTAGCACAGTACCCTGCACATAGTAGGTGCACAATGAACATTTGATGAATTAATGAATGAATCCAAACAATGGTTATTGTATTCATTCATTCAGCACACTCACGGAACATACACATGGGCTAGAGGATTGTTACATCACGTTATCCTCAAAGCAACTCTGAGAGTCAGGGATTATCACCCGCGTTTGACAAACAAGGAAACTGAAGCTCAGAGATGGGGTGGGGGGACACTTTCCCAAGACCACACTGTCTTCATGGAGGAATGAGGGAAACTTGCATTTACTGAGCGCCTACTACGTGCCAAGCCATTCACATATTATTTCGTTTAACTCTCCCATAATGTCTATGGAGAAGGAATGATGGTGCCCATTTTTTGGATAAGGAAATTAAGGCTCAGAGAGTGACCAGACACTTTCTAAAGGTCACACCGTCTTCATGGAGGAATGAGGGACACTTGTATTTACTGAGCACCTACTATGTACCAAGAACACTATCTCATTTAACTCTCCGTAATCTCTACCAGGAAGGAATGATAACACTCATTTTTCAGATTAAAAAACTGAGGCTCAGAGAGGTGATGTCACCCTGTAAGTGGCAGAGCTGGAATACCAGTAGCCCAGGGTTGTGTAACACCTGGGAGTTTTCTTCATCCTCCCACCTCCTTGCCCCAGGGCAGCTGGCTCCATCTTCCCAAAGGAAGCACACTCACTCCTGGCAGTTACTGTTGTAGCTGAAGACACATTTCTGAAGGCTGTCCAAGGTCATGAGGCTGACATGCTCAAACATGTTGAGAGAGACCACTGAGCCCTCTGCCTGGCGCCGCCATTTGGCCTGGAAGAGAGAGATACCATGGGGAACAGACATGGAGACCCCTGACTGTGAGCCCAGCTGACAATGACCCAGCAGCATCCCCACAACAAGCCCACTTTATAGATAAAGGAAGTGAGGCTCCCTGGCATCACACGGCTTGCCCTTGAGTGGGGGAGCCTGGTCCAGTCTTGCTCCTGGGCCACCCTCTCCCCACGAGACCTGGAACTCACATGCATGGTATCCGTGCACTGGTTGAAGATCTTCATGTAGGGCTTCAGGATGTCAAAGTGGAAGGCAGGCGTAAGCAGACGGCGGTGGCGGCTCCACTTGTCACCTTTGCTGAGCAGCAGCCCATCCCCTGGACCCAGAAGACTGAAGTCAGGGGCCCCTGTGGCCTTGGAAGCCCTCCAAGGAACTCCACACCCTGCCCCCATCTTCTCTGAAGCCCCAGCCCACCCAGTCCTCACTCACCCAGCCATGGTTTCAGGAAGCCATAGAAAAGGTCATCCTTGGGAGCAATGGCCGCTGTGGAGAGGGAGAAGGCAGTAATGACTCAAATCAGGGTTCTGACCCTGGACCTCTGCTTGTGACCTCCTTTGGCCTCCTCTCTGGGCTATTACCTCCCACCCCACCCTTCCAGTCCACACCTGCCCCAGAAAGATCCTTCTAACATGCTGATCTGATCATGAGCCTCCCCTGCTCAAAACACCTCCCAAGGCTCCCTACTGCCCTTGTAAAAAAGGCCCTTCCCCATCTAACCCCTGTCTGCCTCCATATCTAATCTTTCAACACACACCAGATAGTCCCATTCTCATTATTTGCTGCCTCTCACCTCCAAACCTTTACCCAAGTTGTGCTCTGGACCCAGAATGGCCTTCCTCCCCTGAGTCTTCCCTTATTCCACCCCTCTCTTTTCTGCCAGCTCAAGCCTCTGCTTCCCCCATGTGAATTACACCTCCTGTGTCCCCAGCCTTCAGCCTCCAGCCTCACCATCTCCAGGCTGTCTTCACGCTGGCCTGGAGGGATCTTATCTGACTCTCAGATCTGACCATGGCCCTCCCTGCTCATATGCACTCCATAGCTCTCCCTTATTCTCAAGTACCAGCTTCTCAGCTTATCTTTCAAAGCCCTAGATGATCTGCCCCTGTCCAAACTTCTCTCAAGATGCTTCTGTCCTCTACCCCACTAACACTTGACATTCTAACATCACAAAACTTTTCTCAGTTCCTCAAACAAGCCATGTTCTCTCTCTGCTCTGACCTTTTCCACCAGCTGCTCTCTCTGCCTCAAACACTCTTCCCTCCTCCTTCTGGTCTCAGCTTGGGTGCCGCCTCCTCTCCCAGTGATTGCTCCAGAGAAAATCCATCCAGTTATAAGTCCCTTGAGGGTACGGACCACAATAATCACTTCTATGTTAGTGCTAAATAGATTTTTATTGAATGAATGTATCATTCAAAGGACAGACAAATGAAAGAATAAATGGATGAATGGATGGAGGGATGGATGGATGGGTGAAGAGATGGATGGATTAAGAAATGGATGGGTAGAGGGGTGGATGGATAGATGATGGATGGATGGATTGATGGAAGGTTGTAGAGATGGATGGATGGAGGGAAGGATGGATGGAGAGATGGATGGATTAAGAGATAGATGGATGGAAGGGTGGATGGATGGAGAGATGGATGGATGATGGATGGATGGATGGACGGACGGTCGGATGAAGGATGGGTGAGTGAACTCCCCTTCTATGCAATGAACAGATTTAGTGGGCAGGGGCCTAGAGAGGAAATACCTGAAACTCAAGTGATGTCATTTTTCTCTATGATATTACTCAGCCACGTACACACACTCCCAGGAATTGGCCAACTGTGCTCAGTCATCTGGCCACTCCTTGTCGCATTCAACATACCTCTTCTGATGTCCTACTGCACCCAATCCCTGCTGAGCGATGCTGGGCTCCCAGATTACTCATTTCCAGGCCCTGCCCTTGAGGAACTCCCAGGTGGGGTGGGATAGGGAAGCAGAGCCACACCCTGTAATTATTTAATGGAGGCAAAGGGAAAGGGTTGCTAGAAGTCAGGGCAAGCTTCCTGAAGAGGTGGCATTGGAGAGGACAGTGGGTGTCCATTACTCCTCTTCTCCCTGGGCCCTGGACTCTAGCCCAGGCCCCTCAAAGTTCTTTCTGAGATATAGAGCTGACCAATGGCTGCCCTGCTCAAACACCTCCCATGACTCCCTATTACACCTGGCATAAAAAAATAAACCCACTGCCATTGATTCCAACTCATGGTAACCTCATGTGTTACACAGTAGAACTGCTCTATGGGGTTTTCTTGGCTGTAATCTGGTGCAGTGGTTAAGAGCTACAGCTGCTAACCTAAAGTTCGGCAGTTCAAATCAACCAGCCGCTCCTTGGAAACCCTATAGGGCAGTTCTACACTGTCGTATAGGGTCACTAGGAGTCATAATCAACTCGATGGCAATGGGTTTGGGCTTTGTTTTTGTCTTGTTTTTTTTTAATCTTCATGGAAGCATATCTTTCTTCCATGGCATCTCTGGGTGAGTTTGAACCACCAACCTTTAGGCTAGTAGTCAAGCACAAACCATTTGCACAACATAGGGACCTTCTAGTCACCCCAAGAAAACAAACCTCCACGTGGGGCTTCTCACCTGGCAAACTCCTATGCATCCTTGGAGGCCCATTTTCACTGATGCCTCCCCAGCTGAACCCTGGCTCTCCCATCTCCAGATCCCTCCTCCACTTCAGCCCTGACCACTCGATGCAGGAGTCTGTGTCCAGGCTGCCTGTCCCAACAGTGTCCCTTCAGTAAAAAGAGGACAGTCACACCTTCCTTGGGGGAGACTATGTAAGACAAGTCCCCACACCATCCAGCCTGGAGCAGCTATTGCCCTGGAAGCTGCATATCACTGCAGCTGAGAGCTTGGACTCTGGGCCAGCAGATCTGGGTTCAAATCCCGGCTTTGGCACTAACTAGTTGGGTAAACTTGGGCACGTTACTACCCTGTCCTTTTGTTTCCCCATCTGCCCAAGGGGGAAATACAACAACCCTGTCTCACCCTGCATTCCTGTAAAGACTAAACGAGCTAATGTGTGCCTGGTACATGGTAACCAAAAAAAAACCAGTTGATGTCAAGTTAACCTCAACTCATGGCGACCCCATGTGTGTCAGAGTACAACTGCATTCCATAGGATTTTCAATGGCTGTGACCTTTCAGAAGCAGATTGCCAGGCCTTTCTTCCAAGGTGCCTCTGGTTGAACGTGAACCACCAACCTTTCGGTTAATAGTCGAGCACTTAACCATTTGTGCCACCCAGGGACTCCTTGGCACATGGTAGGTACTCACTTAATATTTGGGCACATAGCCAACTCTTGGCTATGTTTATTACTATAATGACTGGTTACTGGTGTCAAGAACTTGTGAGATGAATATCTGGGTCCCCAGCTCACGGCAGGCCTGTGTTAGTGACAAATGAATGCATAAAAACAAGCTATAATTAGATGCTTAGATATCATGCATCTTCTCTGGAAAGCATTTGAGCTACTTTCTCCCACTAGCACTCCGTATTCCAAATGCCCATTTGCAGATGGAGAAACTGAGGCTCAAAGAGAAGCTGTGCCTTGCTCAGGGACACACAGCTGTCCAGGTACAAGCCCAGAGCAGCAAGTCCCTCACGTGTAGCCTCCAGGTGGCCCCAGTAGGGGATGGAGTTAGGTGATGTTACAGATTGAATTATGCCCCCCCAAAATATGTCTTGTAAATCCTAACCCTATACCTGTGTATAAAGAGCCCTGGTGGCATAGTGGTTAAGCACTTGGCTGCTACCCAAAAAGTTAGCAGTTCGAACCCACCAGCCGCTCTGCAGTAGAAAGATGTGGCAGTCTATTCCATAAAGATTACAGCTTTGGAAACTCTATGGGGCAGCTATTCTCTCCTATGTTGGTGCTGTTAGGTGCTGTCGAATTGCTTCCAACTCATAAAAACCAAATCCAAACCCACGGCCGTCAAGTAGACTCCAACTCATAGCAACCCTATAGTACAGAGCAGAACTGCCCCATAGGGTTTCCAAGGGGAAGCTGGTGGATTCAAACTTCTGACCTTTTGGTTAGCAGCCAAGCTCTTAACCACTGCACCATCAGGGCTCCATAGCAACCCTATATACAACAGAACCAAATGCTGCCTGGTCCTGTGCCGTCCTCACCATTGTTGGTATGTTTGAGCCTATTGTTGTAGCCACTATGTCAATCCATCTCACTGGGGATTTTCTTCTGTCCTATAAAACTAAAACCAAAATCAAGCCCATCGCCGTCTAGTCAATAGGGTCACTATAAATCGGAATCTCCACTGGATGACACACGACAACATACCTGTGGATGTAACCCCATTTGGGAATAGCATTTTCTTTGTTATGCTGATGAGGCCATATCAGTGTAGGTGTGTCTTAAACTAATCAATTTTGAGATATAAAAGAGTAAATTGTTGTTTTTAGTTGCCAGGGAGTTGATTCCGACTATGGCAACCCCATGTGTGCAGAGTAGAACTGTGCTCCACAGGGTTTTCAAGGCTGTGACCTTTCGAAAGCAGATTGCAAGGCCTTTCTTCCAAGGTGCCTCTGGATGGATTCGAACTGACAACCTTTCAGCTAGTAGTCAAGCGCTTAACCATTTGCGCCACCCAGGGACTCCAAAAAAGGGCAGATTGGGCACAGAAGGCAGACACACGGGGCAGACCGACACTATCTGAAGACAAGAGAGGCAGACCATTCTACAAGCCCAGGAACTCCAAGGTGGCCAGTTAGAGACGCTGAGACAAGGACCTTCCTCCAGAGCCGACAGAGACAGCCTTCCCCTAGAGCCGACGCCCTAGTCAGATTTCTAGTCTCCTAAACTGTGAGAAAATAAATGTCTATTCTTTAAAGACGCTCACTTGTATTTCCGTTACAGCAGCGCTAGGGAACTAAGGCGGTAACTTGGGCGCGGACGGGAAGAGAGGGCGGGCAGCGCCTGGGGTAAGCACGCCTCACTCCAGAGTGTTTGTCCTGACTCATCTCCACCCACCCCTCCTGGATTTCTCCATCATGCTTCTCTGGGAGGGAGAGGCATGGATGTCCTGCTTGGCCTGGGGGAGGGGAGAGGAATAAGCCAAGTCTCCTGGGCATCTAAGTGCCAGACCCACAATGGGGACTCTACTTTCTGTCTCCTTGGAATCCCATACTGTGCAAAATGATGCTCAGGAACTGCTGCTTGAAGGAGGAAGAGGAGAAGGAGAAAAAGAAAAAAGTTTATTAAAAAGCTAGTAAACCAGTTGCCGTCAAAGTGATTCCAACTCATGGTGACTCCCATGTGTGTCAGAGTAGAACTGTGCGCCATAGGGTTGTCAATGGCTGATGTTTCAGAAGTAGTTCACCAGGCCTTTCTTCCAAGATGCCCCTGGGTGGACTCAGACCTCCAACCTTTTGGTTAGCAACCAAGTGCATTAACCATTTGTACCACCCAGGAGTGTCATAAAAAAGGCAGAGGAGGAGAAACACTTATTTAGCAACTACCCACACTATATTATTGAGTCTTCACAACTGCTTCATTCTACAAGTCAGAAACTGAGGCCATGAGAGGTTAGATGAATTGTTAGAGTCACACAGCAAGTACATACTGAAGCCAGGATTCAAACCCAACCCACTTAAAGCTGGGTCCAGGGCTCTTCCCACAACCTGGCACCCATCCCTTGGAGGAATCACTTCTCCCGGGGTGTAGGTTTCCGAATTTGTTCAGTGGGGATAGTCATCCCTTCACAAACGCAATAATGGGCAGTGGGGGAAGAGGCATGGTGAGGGCATAGCTGGGAAGGGAAGGACAGCAGCCCCTTCCTCTCTCATGGCTCCTGAGTGCCAGCCTTGAAGGTGGTCTCCAGACCTGTGTTTGTAGAGATCTTAAAATTCCTGGAGGTCTTTCTTTCCCATCCCTCCTCTCTGAAATGTCCCCCAATGCCCCTGGAAGTATCCAGTCATCTGCTGGGTCATGTTGAGGACCCAGAGCCCCACTACCAAGGGGGTCCCAATTATGGAGAAGGCAGAGTCAGACATAGACACACCTAGCCCGAAAGGGTTAGGACTGAAAATGGAAAAACTCAGAAGCAGGAGCGATGGTCTGTCTGGGGGACCCGGGAAAGCTTCCTGGAAGAAGGGTCCCTAGAGCTGGGTGTTGAAGGCTGAGCCTTCCAAGCACACAATGGCAGGCATATGTTTTGGGATGGGTGTGGACTCCAGAAGGGAGAAACTATTCTTCCACTCCTCCCTCCCCACCAGCCAGGGTCAGCCCAAGTGATGAAAGAAGGCTGTGGGCTGAGCTTCCAAGACCTGGGCCATGGCTGCAGTGTCAGAACCCAAATGATGGAAGTGCCATGGCTTGGGATTGAGCAACACCCATTTAAAAACTTGAGCAAACGATTGCCTATTCAGACCTACTTGGCTCCGACTCCCAGGCAGATAAGCATCCTCTCAAAGTTCCTGAAACTCTTAGACATTGTCACACCTTTGTTCATGCTGTTCCCAACATCCGGATGGCCATCCCTGCTTTGGTGAACTCCTATTCATACTTCAGAGCCCTACTCAAAAGGCACTTCCTCTAAATAGCTCACCCTTCCTGGAAACCCGGTGAGCTCTGGGGGTTGAGGGCTCACACATCGCTCAGGGTCCCAGTGGGCCTACCTGAGGCGCCCAACACAGGCTTGATATAGTCGGGGTGCACCAGCACCACCAGCGGTAGGACAGGTCCCATCCACACAAGGATCGCATGGTGCATGTCGTTCAGCACCTTTGTCTCATCTCGGAGTCCTGCCTCATTTGGAAGGTACTGTGGAGGAAGAGAAGGGCAGTCAGGGGGCACCCAGCCCCAGCTTCCCCCAAGTCCCTCATTCCTGCCATCTTCCCTGCCCTTCAAGTAAGCCCAAGATTTGGGATTATCTCAGAATGGGGGGCTTGGGAGGGAAGGAGTTCCCCAACCCTCCTCCCATGGGGCCACCGCTTCCCAAGTTTTGCCCATTTGCGCCTGAATCTCCTTCCTGTCTTCCACCCCTCAACTCAGCTCAGCCTCATCCCTCCTCCACCCCAATGCTGGATCATGGTTCAGCCTCCTCCCTGGGCACCTGCCTCTAATCTCTGCCCCCGATCCTGGCCCCAGAGGGATTCTTGAATCAGACTATGTCCCTCCCCTGCTCACACGTCCTCCCTGGATCCCCACTGCCATTCAGAGAAAATGCCAGCTCTTTGGCCTGGCCTTCAAGGCCGTTTAGACTCCAACCCCCACCACCTCACCTATTCCACCAGCCTCCTGTAGTCCCTCAGAAAGACTTCCTGCCCCTGTAACAAGGCTCCAGCTGCCCACCTCCACGGCCTTTACTGAAACTGTGCCCTCTTCTCAGGGTGTCTTCTACTAGATGAACTTCTAATCATTTTCATGTTCCATTGCCAATACCCTTACTCCAGGAAGCCCTCTACAGCTTTGATGGTGGTGCCAGAGACAGTGGCCAGGCCTTAGAAGATTTTGAAGTTCAGCTTTGACCCCGTGAGCCCAGTGCACTTCCTGAGACCATGAGACCTGGGTGAGGCCACCTTCTCCCTTGAGTGTGGACAGGCTCAGAGCTGAGCCTGACAGAGGATACACAGGAGTCAGTTTATTCATTCACTCATGTGTTCATTCATTCATTCAACAAATGCTAGGCCCTATCACTGGACAGGCACTGAGCTAAGCCCCTTCTTCTCTGAGCTCTCCCCTAATTCTCACAGCTTATGAAATAGGGATAAATTCTCCCCCATGTTATGGGTTCAATCTTTGGAGCTCAGAGAGGTTAAGTGACTTGCCCAAGGTCACACAGCTGCTGTGGGTGGATCTATACCTAGATCCATCTGATGTTGAGCCTGGGGCTCTTTTGCCTCACAGGGCATGGCAGTTATGAGCAGAGGTTTTGGAGCTGAATAAGTTAATATTTGCAAAGCATGTAGAATAATGCTTGGCACTTGTTGTGTTGTTAGCTGCCGTGGAGTTGGCTCCCAACATGGCAACCCCAAGCACAACAGAGCGAAATGCTGCCTGGTCCTGAGCCATCCCCATGGTTGGTTTTGGATTGAACCACTGGGATCCACAGGGTTTTCACTGGCTGAAAAGTCAATCGCCAGACCTTTCTTCCTAGTCCACCTTAGTCTGGAAGCTCCACTGAAACCTGTTCAACATCATAGTAACACACAAGCCTCCACTGACAGATTGGTGGTGGCTCTGCAAGAGGTGCATTGACTGGGAATGGAACCCAGCCAGATCTCCCACACGGAGGGTGAGCATTCTCCCACAGAACCATCACTGCTCCCACTTGGCAAATAAGGGGTGTTATATACATGAGATAAAAATTGAAACGCAAGGAAAGGGGTAGGGATCTGGCCTGGGACCGTGGCATTAAAGGGAGAGAGAGCAGAGTTACAGTGAGGGGTGGTAATGGAGCAACAAAATTTACAGGGGTAACCCCAGGGATCCCAGATCCCAAACCGCACAGGTGCTGGTGCTACAGTGATCATCTGGAATTACAGACAGAACTCTTTGGAGTCAGTCCTGGCTCATTCCAGCTGTGTGACCTTGGGCAAACTGCTTACCCTCTCTGAGCCTCAGTCTTGTATTCTGTAAAATGGGTCTGCTCATGGCCCCAACCAGAGTTCTCGATTGTGGTTCCAGAAGCCAGCAGGCCCATCATCACCCTCACTGGATACCTGGGACCTGCCCATCCCACCTGCCCACACTCACCATGCCCAGGTGGCCCAGCAGCCAGTTGCGCCGCGGTGGCTGGGGGAAGCAGCGCAGGCGGCGGCAGGTGATGTAGAAGCGCCAGCAGACCCGCAGGAACTGCAGCAGCAGGCGGAAGAGGAAGAAGAGCAGGGAGAGGAGGATCATGGACATGGCATACAGACGGAATGTCGTCTTCTCGAGCCCCAGCAGGCGCAGCAGGTGATCCACAATGGGCAGCATCCTGAGGGTCACGGGACGGGGGGTCAGTGCTGATGGGAACATCATGCGCCGTGGACATGGGGACCCACGTGCTCAAATGCACAGAAGGTGCTCATACATGTGAGTCCCAGACACCAAGGACACCTCTCCTACCCCCAGATGCTGTGGATGACCAGCCCATACCCCCTCAGCCTTGACCTTTGCAAGGCATACCTCCTGGCTTCTCTACCTGCGGGTTTGCTCTAACCATGCACAGCTGGCCAGAAGTGCTGGGAAATTAAGAACCTCCTAAGGAAGCAGCTCTCAACCAATGATTGATGAAGCTGGTGGATAAATATCCCCGGTTCCCTCTCCTCTCAGTGGGACCAGTCTGAGGTGTATGCTTTATCCTGTCTCCCAGGGTTCCCCAGAGGGATTAAGCTCCAACTGCCCATAGTTGAAACTTTCTCTCTTGGCTGCTTCCTTTCTCTTGTCTCACTTCTCTTCTCCTTTACTTGTATTATGTGTGACCACTTCCCAAATAAACCATTGTTGTTGCTGTTAGTTGCTGTCGAGTTTATTCCAACTCATGATGACCCTATATGTGTCAGAGTAGAACTGTGCTCCACAGGGTTTTCAATAGCTGATTTTTCAGAAGTAGATCACCAGGCCTTTCCTCAGAGGCACCTCTGGTTGGACTCGAACCACCAACCTTTCAGTTAGCAGCCAAGTGCTTTAACCATCTGCACCACCTGGGGACTCCAAAACCAGTTGCTGTCAAGTCAACTCTGACTCATGGCAACGCGATGTGTGTCAGAGTAGAACTATGCTCCATAGCGTTTTCAAGGCTGTGACCTTTTGGAAGCAGATCACCAGGCCTTTCTTCTGAGGCACCTCTGGGTAGACTCAAACCACCAAACTTACAGCTGGTAGTCAAGCACTTAACAGTCTGCACCACCCAGGGTCTCCTCCAAATAAACTACTTGTACTCTAATCCCTGCATTAGGGTCTGCTCCTGGAGGAGCCAAAATTGAGTGGCGGGTAACAATAATAATAAAACAGTGAATGTGTATGGAGCATGCAGGGCATGCTGTGCACCATGCTCAGGGTGGGCACGCAATCTTAAGCCAATCCTGGGAGGTAGGTACCATTATTCTCCCCGTTTTCTAGATGAGGAAGCTGAGTCTTAACTCAGTTCCTTGAACTCAAGGGAGACAGAGCTGGAAGAGACCACCCCTTGGCCCCCACTAGAACCCAAGCTCAATCACTTTCAATTTGGGGGCCCACAAGTCTCAGCCAACCCCAAGGAGATTCCTGAAAATGGTTGGATCCTGCCATCATATCTCCTTTCCATCCAGTCCTCCTAGCCAATGGCCCCCAGTTCCCTCTGCACTCCCACCTCCTTGAGCAACACAGCTAAAAAGACACCTGCACTCTAGGACCTCACCTGAGCCCTCAGTCCCCACCCACTCCTGCCATGGTGCCCCCCAACTAGGAGCCCTAAGCTCAGTCCTACTGTCTCTTCCACCAGCCAATGTCAAACCACATCATCCACGCAGAAGAAAGGATGTTTCTACTGGTTACTGCATCCTGAGAAAACAGCTGGGTGGGTTCTCATCAAATTTGGAGAGCCCAGTTGGGGTGGTCTGACTTCTAATACAGACTACACAGTGTAGGCGATATTCCCTTTAGAAGGCCAAGGCAGGGGTAGGGGAGGGAATAGGCAACCTTTCAATCTGAAGCACAAGGAATCCCAAGTCACAAATCCCAGGCAAGTGCTCTGAACTGGGGACACTGCAACTGTGCAGCCTCTCACACAGGCAGCTCCAGGTGGCATGCTCCAGAGAGAGTAACTGCAGGTATTTATTTCTTTACCAATTTAACAGTGGCTATCATTTGTCTAAGGGAGCCCTGGTAGTGCAGTGGTTAAGCAAGTGGCTGTTAACCGAGAGGTCAGCAGTTTGAACCCACCAGCTCCTCCGCGGGAGAAAGATGTGACAGTCTGCTTCCGTAAAAATTTACAGCCTTGAAAACCCTATGGGGCAGTTTTACTCCATTCTATAGGGTCGCTATGAGTCAGAATCAACTCAACGGCAACAGGTTTGGGGTTTTTTTGGAATGATCTGTCCTAGAAGTCCCTGAGTGGTGGAAATGGTTAACGCACACGACCGATAACCAAAAATTGGAGGTTTGAGTCCCCTCCTATGTGTCTATAGGTCCCTAGGTGGCACAAATGGTTTGTGCTTCACGATTAGGTTGGCAGTTCAAACCCATCCAGTGGTACCATGGAAGAAAGGCCTGGTGATCCGCTTCCGTAAGAGTACAACCAAGAAAACCATATGGAGCAGTTCTACTCTGTAACACATGGGGTCACCATGAGTCAGAATGGACTGGGCGGCAATGGGTTTAGTCCTATGTGTCTGACTCTGTTTTAGGCTTTGGGGTGTAGTGTGAGCAGAACAGACATGGTCCCTGCCCCAGTCGGGGAGATCATTAACAGACAAAGACATGATAAAACATGTAAGTGTTGTAAAGGAGGGAAAGTAGGGTATCATAGGCTGAATAATGACCCCCCAAAATATCAGGTCTTAATCCCTGGGACCTGTAAATGTTACCTTATACGGCAAAGTCTTCACAGATGTGATTAAGTTAAGGATGTTGAGATAATGGGGAGATGATCCTGGATTATCCAGTGAACCCCAAACGTAATGACAAGTGTCTTTATGAGAGGAAGATTGGACACAGACACAGAGGAGAAGGCGATGTGACGATGGAGGTAGAAATGGGAGTGATGCAGCCACAAGCCCAGGAATGCCTGGAGCCACCAGAAGGTTGGAGAGGCAAGGGAGGATTCTCCTCTAGAGTCTTCAGAGGGGGCGTGGCTCTGCTGACACCTTGATTTCGGTCCTGTGGTACTGATGTTGAACTTCTGGCCTCCAGAACTGTGAGAGAACAAATTTACATTGTTTTACCATTAAACATTACCTGTTTGTGGACATTTGTTACAGCATCCACAGGAAATTAACACATAGGATAAGGGGATGGAGAGTGATTGTTTTAGTGGTCCAGGAGGGCCTCTCTGCAAACGGGTATCTGGGAAGGGAGCTGAGGGAAGTAAGGAACCTAAATGAGGGGGGCTTTCTTATTAAATGCATGCACATACACACATATGTACACATGCATACCTGCACACAGACATGCACACATGCGTGGACACACACTCTCATTCATACACAGATACATTCACACACACACACACACACACACACACACACACACACACACACATCATAAGCAGCTGGGTTCTAATCCTGACCCCTCCTGGCTATGTGGCCTGGGCCTCAGTTTCCCCATCTGACCTGCAAGGGCCTGTAAAAGGTGATCTCTGAGCTCCATCCCGGTGTGAACTTTCCTGCATGTGGCCCACTGGGGTCACATCTGGGCAGGCACAAGACCCTCAAGGAAAGAGAGTCAGCATGTTCAGGCAACAGGGGCCACGTGGAGTGCCCCACTCCCCTGAGGTAACTGACTGCAGTCTGGCTCCCATCCCACCCACCACAGTCACCTTCTTCCAGCCCTGTCAGTCCCCTGCTCAAACACCCTCCATGGCTCCCCAGTCCCTGTAGCCTGGTGTGCACATCCTTCAGGAGCTGACATGTCTGGGCCCCACTCCAGCCACATGGATCTATCTTCTCGGCCTGCTCTAAAGACCCCCCCTTTCTTCACTCAATTTGTGGGTGTTGAAGTTCCTTAGAGCTGGGTCATCTCCCCTTCTCCTGCACACACCTCCTCTTGGGAACCTCACCCCCACCCCCACCGCTGCAGAGACCCCCTTCTCTGATGTGCCTCCATGTCTCAGGGTCCAGCACTGAGCGTCCACCTGATGGCTCTCTTTACAACAGCCAATAGATAGAAACAACTGAATGCCCTTCAACAGGTGAATAGACAAACAAAATGTGTTCCATCCATACAACAGAGTTTATTCATTCATAACTAGAAGTGAAGTTCTGATACCTGCTACATAGATGAGCCTTGAAAACATGATGCTGAGCGCATAAGTCAGTCACAAAAGGACAAATATTGTATGATCTTACTTATAAAAAAATAAGCAAATGTGTAGAAATAAGCAAAGATTATTAGTGGTTTCTAGGGGTGAAGATCAAAGATCACAGCCTTCAGTATGGATTACACCTCAATATAAAGAAAACAAAAATCCATACAATGGGACCAATAAGCAACATCATGATAAATGGAGAAAAGACTGAAGTTGTCAAGGATTTCATTTTACTTGGATCCACAATCAACACCCATGGAAGCAGCAGTCAAGAAATTAAATGAAGCAGCCATCTAAGATGCATCAGTTGGTGCCAACCCACCTGGAGCAATGGACAATGAAGAACACCAAAGACACAAGGAAAATATTAGCCCAAGAGACAAAAAGGGCCACATAAACCAGAGACTCCATCAGCCTGAGACCAGAACTAGGTGATGATTTCGGTGATGGCCCTGACAGGGAACACAACAGAGAGTCCCTGATGGAGCAGGAGAAAAGTGTGGTGCAGAACTCAAATTCTAGTAAAAAGACCAGACTTAATGGTTTGACTGAGACTGGAGGGACCCCAGAAGACATGGCCCCCAGACTCTCTGTTACCCCAGAACTAAAACCATTCCCGAGGCCAACTCTTCAGACAAAGATTAGACTGGACTATGGGACATTAAATGATACTAATGATGAGTGTGTCTCTTAGCTCAAGTAGATACATGAGACTAAATGGGCAGCTCCTGTCCGGAGGTGAGATGAGAAGGCAGAGAGGGTCAAGAGCTGGTTGAATGGACACAGGAAATTCGGTGTGGAAAGGAGGAGTGTGCTGTCACAGTATAGGGAGAGCAACTAGGGTCATAACGAAGTGTGTATAAATTTTTGTATGAGAAACTAGCTTGAATTGTAAACATTCACTCAAAGCACAGTAAAAAAAAGAAAAAGAAAAAGATCAAACGACATATTGCAGTGGGCAAATCTGCTGCAAAAGACTTTTTTAAAG